CTCTCGAACGATGTGCTAAGACCAAGGAAGAGTTAAAAAGCAACAATCAGGTGAAATACATTGATAAATCACTCGCAAGTTGATTTCATGCCTTATGAATGCGGGATTAGTCATTATGAAGGTTTCTACAATGTATTCGAATGTTGACGTGCTTATAGCTTGCAGGAAGCACTATCAGCCCAGCAGCATCTCTGTTTTCATCCTTATTTCTCAGGGATGGTTTTCAGATAAAATCATCTGGTAACTTTGTGTAAAAAAATGCAGCATATTTCACACATGCAGGTGCAGTCTGTGTGACCACAGCAATGATAAATGAGATATTGCCTCATGTAGAAACTGACTGACTGGATGTTTAGTGTGGCCTTACCGTACTGCGACCTTAAAAGGAAGAATTGCACTAGTATGAAGCTAAAGCCAGCGGAGGACTTGGCATAACTATGTTAATGAATTATTGCTGTTAATTACTGATGCCGCTGTGAATGTTCAGGATGTCATCTGTTGCTTCTGGCTGGTTTGATGTGCTGCCTCCACGCTCAGTGTCACAATGATGCACAGCTGAGCCAGAAAATGTTATCTGTGTGGTGTGTGTGTGTGTGTGTGTGTGTGTGATGGGGGGGGCTGCGGTCGGACAGATGATATCAGCACTCCCTCTCTGAGAGTCATACAGTTCACAGCACAGGAAGTGATGTAGTAGACAGTGTTAACAGGAAGCTGGCTGTTTGGAGGAGTTTACATTGGGTTCTCTCCACGTCTCGTAGATTTGTCATTATTAAATCAACTGTTCCTTCCTTTCGATTACGGCATGGCGAGACTGTGAGGCAATCATCGTTTGATTTGTTTCTCGTACATCTTCGTTTCTTCTGCTGGAAACTTCTTGAGGAAAGAAGACACTGAAGCTTAAAAAACTCATCTAACAGGTTGTATTTTACTGCACTTTGAAATCGGTACTCGCCACCTAACCTGACCTCATGACAAATGGTGTAACAACTAAATTAGCAACAGTGATAAACATTGCATGTTGACATTATTAAATGCCATTGATTATGGGTGTAATGATACGCTCCGCTCTTAAGACGAGGCAGTTCTTGGATCTGAATTCATAAAAACAAGATGAGATGCAACGTTTGTGGGAAAACTGAGAATCTCCAGTATTTGTCGTTACAAAAAGAGTAAAGGTTTCACCAATTTTGAATTGCATTTTGAAGGTTCTGCAGACAGTGAAAAGTGTTCCAGTCAATGACAAACCTGCTAATTGTGCTAAAGGAGGAGAAGCAGTTCACCAACCCAGGAAAACCGTCTATTTGCTGTCATCAGTGGCAATCCTAACGAGCTGAGCATTCATGGCAGCCTGCATTGTGGGAAACAAGCTGTTGCGTAGATGAGAGTGTGAGCAGCGCATACATGAGAATAATTGACAGCAGTAAGACTCTCCTCCTGGCTCTAATTGGTTGTTTCTGATGGAGCAGTGTGTTTCATTTACTGTTTGTGTAGAAGAGGATTGGGAGAATGCAAAGGAGCTCTTTTTGTTTTTCTCTGATTCTCTCATGTTATACTGTCGTGACAGATTTACAGTTTTAACAAATGTGTAAAAATCATATTTTTATATTAAGGTTTTCTACAGCAGTTTTAAATTTAAATTTAAGTAAAGTTCAGAAGATGGTGTTGGATGTATGAGGTTGCCTGTACAAACTTTTTACATTAATTAAATAAGATCTGCAAATTAATTTGGGGTTACGGTAATTACATAAACATAATATTGTCAAAATTACCAGCATAAAATAGTGCCTATATGATTTTTCATTGTAAAATAAACAACTTTTCTAATGGGTTTAATATCATAGGTCTTAGTAGAGCTCAGGTTAGCAGATGTTTAAGAGAGTATTGGTTGTCTTCCAGTGTTCTGGATCGATTTTTGCATCAGCTGGATAGAGTTTCTGCCATAGTAACAAATTGCATCCACATTGATCAGGACACGCTGTCTGGGAGGTGAATGCAAAAACAATTGTGGGACACACCTCAGTGTTGATTCTCAGACTGAAGCCAGTTTATACTCGCTGGGTTTTGTTCATCTTTCAAATACTTCATTCACAGTTCCAGAAACAACTTACCATTCCAATTATTTTTTCAAACTAAACAGGTCTTTTTTATGGACTTTGTAACAATAGTGACATACATAAGTTAGACAGACAAGTCACAAAATGGGTGACTCATTAAAACATGACGGTGTCTTTAAAAAATGGAGACACATTTGTCCCTACGGCTTCCTGTAGTCCATTGTCATAACTCAGCGTAGTTTTACACAATGCATCACCGATAACATTTCTTGGTATTTATTGTCATTGATAAACCGTTGCAGCCTGGCGTGTCTTTGGACTGTATGAGCTTGTGCCAGCCCACAAGTCCCACCTATCCACTGTGTATAGCAATTAACTTATTATTGTTGTACAGTGACAGGAAGCTGGAGTACCTGGAGAGAATCATGCAAACTCTATGCAAAACATTTGTGGCGCACCGATCTGTGTTGGTCCTGATATTGAAAAGATTTTTGTATCAGTGAGAGTTTGCCTGAGCCATAAATCTAATACCTTGCTTTTTGCTCTGAGTGATGTCATGCTGTATTATTTATTTGACATATTAGAAATCCTAACTACACTTTCTGAGCCATTTCAAATGTTTGTTGGAGTTCATTTTCTACATTTTTGTCAGTTTCAGTCTCTTTATTTATTCTATATTGCACTGACTGACCAAATTAAAGTTGTTTTTGCATGTTTGACAAAATTTATGAAGCTGTTGGTGTAAGTAAGTGTGCTGTGCTGGTGCAAATGAATTTGTAATTCAATAAATCTATGTCTGTGAGAAACATTTTAAGTCAATTCAGCACTGATATTCTGTATCAGATCGGTATCAGTCGATACTGAAACTTAGATATCAGTATTGTAAATGAAAACAGTGGATCGTGCGTCCCTTGGTGGCAACAAGATTCAAGGGATACAAATGCTTTTGCGAGGCGCTTTGTCGCACAGTCCATTTACTTACCAAAGACGAACTTGAATGTCTAATATCAATGCAGTAACTGAGTTACTACAGCCCTTGAAAGGGCCTTTTGTGTCTCACGGACTATCATACTCGATCAAAGTGATACAAAGTGTTCTTTTTCACCAGCGACTCTAAGATATCATCCCGTCGAGAACATTGAGGAAGAAACGCAGCAGTGTTTGAAGATAAAACAGATTTTTTTTATCTTCTCCCTCAAAATATTTTGGTTTTTCCATCAAATCATCCAGATTGAGAAAAGGATTAATATAAATCCCTAATATGTAAGGAGCCTTTGTCTGTTAGGGTATATAGAGAGAATGGGAAATGCATTATAAATATTCTCTTCATTTCTGTTTATTTTTCATTTTGTGGCATTAAGTGACCGTCACTCTACTATATTGTCTTTCATGGAACACAAACTCCATGTAAATCAGCAAAAAGTGGTCAAACATGTTGATGTGATGAAGGCCCATCACATTAGTCCAATCTCTGGAGAGGTATGGGGGGGCTCGAAGGTCTGCAGATGTCATGGGAGGGTTCGGTTTAAGCCTGGCTTTGTCTCACTCTCTGCCTCCTTCCAGATCAGATGAGATTAGGGAAAGTGCTAAGGAGCTCTGCAGGGGCAAGGCAGAGCGCAGAAACACTGAAGCTGAGGAGAGGAGGGACGCAGCAAAGCAGGTGGGCGCCGGTTCAGGGAGGAAAGAGAAATCAGCAGAGAGCGTGCTGGTGGATCCTGGATGGCTCCTATAAACGGGGGAGCGTTTGGAGCATGGGGGAGCGTTTGACACGTAGTAGACAAGCAAATGTTTGGTTATTTTTTGTTTAGGTGTTTGCTGTGTTTAATGCAACATGCAGCAATTACAGATTCGTGGGCAAACAAAAAGAGACCGAGAAGTTTTGAGTATACTATGCTCTGTTTCCTGCCATTGAACCAGGGTACGCACACACTCTTAAGAAGTCTTAAATTCATGCATCTAAAGATTAACGGCTTGAAATTTCCTAAATTAATTGAAAAACAATGTTGGTCTTAAATGTTAATTAGAGGTCTTACTTTTTTTAATAGCAGGACTATTTAATCATATGTATTTTTATGCAGTTTTCTTTTTTCTTGTGGGACTTTATTGTTATGCAAAACACTTTGAGTAACACAGGGACATCCTCATTGCATTCTGTGACTCAAAGTGGTTGTGGCTTCTGAAATGAAATGAATAGAAAGCCTTTATTGTGATTGAACTGAAGGAGTAGAAGAAAATTCAGGATTGAACTGAAGATGACACTAATGATGAGAAGAATCAAAATAGAATAAAAGCTAAGAAATAGCTGTTTATATACTCTTGCTAGCTATCTTGCATTTACCCAAGATAGACATAAAATGAGCTAACTAACTTTACCCTCATTAGCTAACTAGCACTTACCCATGATGATAAGTGCTTTTTTATGACCGCGCTAAAAGGACATAGCTAATTAGTTTTACCTTTGCTAGCCGGATTGCTAACAAGAGTAAAGCTAGGTTTCTCTATTACGTTCATTCTATTTGTTTGTTTGTGATTTTCTTTTGTGCTTTTCTGTCATGATCAAAGTACCAAATCTTATTCTTAATAGTCTTAAAAAGGTCTTAAAAGATTTTAAATGTGAGTTGTTGAAACTTACAGAAACCCTGAAAATACTCTTTATTTGTTGGCAAGATGCTGGTGAAATTTCCATTGTTTTAGTTTGACGGTAAAGTGACGCATGAGGATGGAGTTGTGGGGTAAAAATGAAGTTGCTTTGCTAATACTTAGTGTTGACTCAAAGTCGAGGAAATCGCAGTTACGATCCCATAAATGACATTAATCACAAAGGTAGATCTTCCAATTATTTAGTTTTTTAATTTCTTTTGGTTAAAAAAAAAAGCGTCTTAGCTGAAGACGGGTTGTGATGGAGTGAAAGCAGGACTTGTTTGACTCTGTGTGTCTCTCTTTCAGCAGGCTGATGGCGAGTTGATGCCGGCGTAACAGCAGCTGACGTCAGGACTATGTGTTAAGGATTGCCTTTTGAATTTTTAACCACCTTGAGCCCGCTGGTATTCCTCTTCGGCTGTGAGTGGAGTTTGTGTCGGCCATGGGGAGGAAGAAGATTCAGATCAGTCGGATCCTGGATGAGAGGAACAGACAGGTCGGTGCCTCCTTCCCTGTCTGTCTTCGTACATCATTTCTTCTGATTGCATGCTGTTTTCTGGACTACAGAAAGTAACAGCATCATCTGTGCTTCTGAACACCCATGCAAAACTGCAATTTCACTGAGAAAACCAAGAATCGTGCATCATACATGATGTAGTGGAAGGAAAGTTCTCCTGAAAACATACGATTCACATCTGAAGAAGAGCAACTGCAACAGGTGGAGCTGGTGTTTTAGAAACACCAGAAATACAAGAAATATTCAGATTTTTTCACTCTTTCCCAACTTTTACAATTGTTACATTTTGTTGCATTACAGCCGTAAACTTTAGTCTATTTCTTTGAGATTTTGTCACACACCAATGGAAAGTACCATACCTGTGGATTGGAATGAAAACAATGATTTTGAAATCTAAAACAAAATCTCAAACAAATGTGGCATTACTCTGACATTCATTAAAATTCGGCAATCTGTTGGTTTAAAACCAATGCAAATGGGTGTAATTTAGTATAAGTTTAGTTGGAGGTTCCTTTAGAGAACGTAAGGGAACAAACAGCTTAACATAGAGCAGACAGATCAGGGTGGATGTTGTGGAGAAGTTGAAAGCAAAGTTAGGTTAAACAACAAGAGACTTTGAATGTCTCACAGAATCAATCAATCAATCAAATTTTATTTGTATAGCACATTTCAGCAAGGCATTTCAAAGTGCTTTACATCATAAACACAAGAATACAAAGTCATGCAACATATAATAGACAATACATTATTACATATTACATTTCAAATGAAACTCTAAACAGGTGTGTTTTTAGTTGCGATTTAAAAGAAAGTCAGGGTTTCCGCTGTTTTACAGTTGTCTGGAAGTTTGTTCCAAAGTTTTGGTGCATAGATGCTGAAAGCTGCTTCTCCTCTCTTGGTTCTGGTTCTGGGGATGCAGAGCAGACCAGAACCAGAAGACCTGAGAGGTCTGGAAGGTTGATACAACAACAGCAGATCTTTGATGTATTGTGGTGCTAAACCATTCAGTGATTTATAAACTAACAACAGTATTTTAAAATCTATTCTTTGAGCTACAGGGAGCCAGTTCAATCCATCGTCTAAAAATAAAAGAACTGCGAGACAGCTGTTGTCTTGTTAAGGCGTGGTTGTTTAATTCAAATGGCAGGCTGGTTAAGGAGAACATTTAATAGAGAAGCAGCCAAAAGGCAAATGGCAACACTGGAGGAGCTGCAGTATATACTCAATAATCTGTTGACAAAAATCTGCCATGAGACAGACCCGCCCTTCAGGTCATGTCTTCATGACTGCTGGTATGCTTATTAACTTTTAAGACAAAATAATTGATTTTGGCCAAAAATGTTCAGACATTTTTAAGACCGGTGATCAGCCAGAAAACTACAGTCTGATTGCCCCGGGTTTCTGGTCTACAAGCCGAGCTAATAACTTTCTGCACATTATCGTGCTGTGCTATTGCTTTTCTTCTACTCAGACTCTATAGAGAAAAATAAATGGAGCTTAATGCAGGAGAACTTGGAATAAAACCTCTATGTATAGTCAAAGTCCAGACCTAAATTATTTGAAAATGAGCGTCGAGAGTTAACATTTGCAAAACTGAGACATTTCTAAAAATACTCACTGGTGTATTTGCAACTAAAGGCAGTTGTGTAAAGAATGGATCAGGAGGACTTGAAAGAAATGCACTCCACACTTTTCAGAAATTACATGATTTTCATTCTTCCATCACATTAAATCCCAATAAAATTTGATGAAATGGATGAAATGTGGGGGGAAAACAGTTGGAGAATTGCATGTCATTTAGCAAATCACTGCAGATCCGATCTCCCGTTACAAAAACAGCGTTAGGCCTCTGTCCAGAGGAAATCCTGGACCTTTCTCTGCACCGTTTCCCTTCTGAGACAGCAGAGTGCTTAGCTACTGGGCGGTGAGGGCAGTAATTTCTGGTTAGCAGCATTCGGACAGCACCCTGTCATTAGCAGGGCGGGTCAGCGTCGGGGACACACAGTGGCCCTCTCTCCTCATGTCTCCTTACATCGCCACGCGGCTGGCCGCTGGAAACCCTCGCTGTCTGACTCGTCTATATATACTTATATATATATCTGTATATATATATATATATCCATATCACTCCCCACCTCAACAGCACAACAAATGCCAGCCTGTCTGTGAGGATTGCACAGGCTCTGGAAATATGGATGTGGCTGGAAAATAAATATCTGGGAAGATTGTTTACATTTGATGTTTGGTTGTCTCGGGCCGAGCTGTTTGAGAACGGACACTGCTGCAGTTGTCTGGCGTGAGTATCGCCCCGAGTCTTATATTTAGATTGTGGGTTCTATTTTAGGAAGTTGCCTTGTGGTTTTGTTTTATCTGTCAAGCACATCATCTGTTTTTAGCCATTTTTTCTGCTTTCTCATTTTATCCTTCTGGAACATATTTCGCTTCATATATATATGTATATATATACCAACAGCAATGAGATGGCTATTTCTTTAGTTGTGCTTTCTAACCTGAACATATTAGAGCCTAAACAGAGATCTTTAGCTCCCCCTCTCCTCTGCAGTTAGTGAGCATCCTTGGTGCTCCAGTCCCAGGTGAGGCGCTCTGAGTGCAGGGTGATCGGTCCCACTCGGCACTAGGACTCTACAGAGTGCCTTCTGCGCCGGTCGGGCGAGTATGCAAATACGCTCTGATCTGCACCGAGGACCGCCTGCTCAACTGACTGGCTTTCAGGTGGTGGAACACAACAACACGTTAAGCAAATCGCATTGCGGTGAGGGGGAGTCGAGTACCAGAGCTCAGTCAAATGCATTTGTTGGATCAGCCTGTCGTCAAAGTGGAATCATCTGTAATTTTGTGCTGCTACTAACAATTAATCAGCACATTTTATGATAAAGTGATTGGTCTACATCTCAAATTAAATAATTTAGATCTTTTTTAAAGTAAACTACAGTTTTTTGTATACGAATTACAATATAAACAAAGTATTAATTTTAAAAGCTTTTTCTTTGTAGTGGAAGTCAATTAAAAAAACGAAATCAAGTTATGAAATTAACCCTGAAATTTCATAATTGCAATCATTTTAGTCAAAAATCATGTCGACAAAATTAGCAAAATGTTCAATTCAAAACTCCTTTTTGTTGCTAAATAATTGAATAAGTAGACAGATGAGCTCAGCAAGAAAATATATCAATTGTTTTTAATCTGAGGCTTTTGAAGCATCAGATTGGTGCTCTTATACTAATTTGGCCGTCAAGGGTTTCAGGAACCCCTGATGAAATAAATTCTTCTTTAAAAATGTAGAATGTGGAAGAATTGTTTTGCATTGAGGAGCCTATCTCCAGCTCCTTTTAAACTCACAGTTGCACAATTTGAACACAACAGTAGGATCCAGAGTCCAATCAGATCTTTTTTTTTTAAGTAAAAAATGACCTGGAGAAGTGACTCTGCCATCCGTTGTTGTTGTTTGTCGAAGTCGCTTGTGAGTCAGATTTATCGGTGCACCACCACCAGAAACTCACAAGAAGAAACGTTGTGTTTATAACGTTCATCCTACTTCATCAGATACACGGGAGGATCAAAAATACAAAGAAGTCCAAATATAACGTGTGATCATACCTTCAGCGTCAGGATCCCAGAAGGTATGATCACAGAAACATTTACCGCCAGAAAGACGGCGTCTGATTCACAGCAGGGAGTGAGACAGGGATGAGAGGCAACGATCAGCGTGTCACCTGGTGCTCATTGTCAGCTGTAAAACAGACACTCCACACATGAAGGCGTTCAGAATATGAGCCATCTTTCCATATGATTCTGTACAATGTATCAGTTGAAGAAGTGGGGGAGAATTTTTTTACATTAAAGCTGGGATTGATTCAGTCAACACATTATCAAAGGTGACCTAATGAACAGGTTAGGGCTGGTTGATGGGCATTAAATTTTTTTGTACAAAATCATTCTTAGAAAACGACTTTGAGTTCTTGCTTATGGACCGCTTGTCACCCTTAAATCCAAATAAACTGCTTCTGGCCCTTTGACCCCTGACTTTCCTCTTACAACACTTTCAAATAAAGGCCACGAGAGCCAAAAAACCTTAGACAAAAAAACCAAGTATTTTCCAGCGGCCATTGTACAGCAAATACAATGGCAAATACATGTCACTACTGACCAAACATGCCGGAGCTCCACAGTTGCTGCTAAGCTGTGCTCTGGTTGGGGGGTAAGATTATTATCGATTGTGACACAACAATCGTTTTTGAAAAAACCTCATTTTCCAGATACCAACAAACCCAACGGAAAGATGAAACCCTGCAAAAAGTGATTTTTGCACAGTAGGTCCCCTTTAAATGTTCGGTCATGGATTAGGCCACCAACAGAGCTGTTGACACAAATCCATTTGGTTAGTTTGGGTTTGCTTTGCTCCTCCAGGTGACTTTCATGAAGAGGAAGTTCGGCCTGATGAAGAAGGCCTACGAGCTGAGCGTTCTCTGCGACTGTGAAATAGCCCTCATCATCTTCAACAGCTCCAACAAGCTGTTCCAGTATGCCAGCACGGACATGGACAAAGTCCTGCTAAAGTACACAGAGTACAACGAGCCCCACGAGAGCAGAACCAACACCGACATTTTAGAGGTAAGGAGTCGACGGCGGCGTCTTCAGAGGATTCGCTTTGCCTCCCATTCTGTTTATTGAGAGAGCATATTGGTTTGGATTAAAAGGCGTGACATGCAAATATGCCTCACGTACAACACGGCTTGTTTTGCATCAGCAGCCATGAGGCGTGTGTGTGCACAGTTAGTGAGAGGAGGAATCTGTCTGACCGACGTTTTCTTCGTCCATGTCAAGTAAAGGGAAGGAAGTAACAAAAAGGATGTATTTTAAAAAGGGGAATTTTGTGCTACAGTGTGGAGCTCAGAATTTCATCTTGATGCCTCCTTACTTCACTGTTTTTCTTTGAAAATGTAAGGAAGTGAAATGTTCATAATTTTAAAAAGAGCCAAAGCTTTTGTGTGACATAGAGACAAAAATATGTAAAACAGATAGGCAGACCGGTTTCATTTCTCAAATTCTAACTATTGAATCAGATATTGTAATGTCTACATTTAGGCCTTTAGAGTTACTCTCACTATTGTGTATATACATGTCACTACTTATGCTGGTGAGAAGCATAGTTAATGTGGCTCTAAAAGAAGCAAATTCTGTGAAAGCTCTAGTCTTTCTCGATCTAAAGTATGAATGGCTAAACAAATATTTCACATCAAAACTGTTGTTGTTTTCTTTTACTTTTCTTTATGAACACTAGAAGTAAATAATATATTCTTATGTCAATACATACAAAATCCCAGAATATTTCTAGTGTGTTAAAGAAAATATAACATAGATAAATATAAATGCAAACTAATTCTGGTCATAAGGAAAAAAACTTAAAAACTCAAATGAAACAAAGAGAACATTTGTTTTTCTACTTGTTAAAAAGTGTTTGTAACTCGTGTTTTTTTCGGAAGTGAAAAAGTGCACAAGTAAAAATCTCTTCAATGTAAAAGGAAATCTATTGTCGAGTATTGTCACATCAACAACGTAAAAACTGCAGACGCTTTGAAAACTATTAGACATCTGATTTAGAACGACATATGGAAGTTGCAATAAACAAAGATTTTTTTTCTTTTGAGTGAAAAGATTGGAATTGATCTGTTCAGACTGCCTTGAAAAAATACGACATGACCAAAAGTGGCCAAATTTTCACCAGCTAAATTAATCAAAAAGCAGGTTGACCTGCCATCAGTTGAAGCTGCTCCAAACGCTCGGCAAACATTTGATGTCAAATTTTTCTGCAAAAGACGTGTCCAGACTTTTAGATGTCTTCAACACGGTGTCCAGAAGTCGTGTTCAAATTACAGATGTAGCCATAAAATGAGCGGCAGTTTGACTCGGCTCAGGATGAAATCTCAGCAGCATCAAAGTTGTTTCTCGCTGTTTTCGTTGCAAACATCCCCTTTCGTGAAACACAGGTGTTTCAGTGAGATGCTTGTCCTGTTTCATAGTCTCTACTGTTAGAAACGAATGGCCAACATGACTCCTGTTCTGTTTATTTAAACTTCCACGGTGTGTTTGCCTGTCTTAGAGCCTGACTCTCACACTTGCACTAAGTTGTGATTTTACTCCTTCAGAGGAAATTAGATACATTTACTTTCTGAAAATTCACATTCAAGGCTCCACTTTGTGGCAGCCATCAATGTGGAAAAGCCTTCAAGCTTCCTACTTTTCCAGCCTCACGTGTCCTAAGCCATGTGAGGCTAATCGGTAAAGCCTCTTCAAGTGATTGAACAATTTCTAAATGTATACCAGTTGCATTAAAGATTATCAGTGTGCACAATTCAAATATCGATTCTAAAGAGTGTCTGTGTAAACTCCCCTGCTGTGAAACCACAACTGGACACCTGGGGAAGCTCCGACAGCCATTAGCCGTGCAGGATTTGCCTTCTCTCCACCTCATTTTGTTTTTTTCCCACAAATGTCATGCAGACAGACGAACCGGCCAAGGCAGCGCCTGACGAATTGGACGGCTGCTTGTTTACATATTGGTCTGTCTATTTGCAACATTTAAGCATGAAATTTGACTATATTTAAAGGACGGGGCCCCTCTCGCTACAACAGGCGTCCCGTGTCGGAGAGGTCCTTTGGATCAAATTATTATGATCAGGCAGGAAAATTAAACATTCAAGTTTTTTTCCACTCAGAACAAATGTAAAATGTACTAATATTGTTTAATGTACTGGTATGTAAAAATGACCAAAAATGAAAATTTCATTTTCATTTAAATGGCATCAAAACGCCTTGCAGTTGTCAACAGCGAGTTTCAAACAGCTGGTTCAGGGTGAAGTTTTGTCGCCATTGATGCATCATCTACTCTTCAAATGTGGGAGCTGAAGACAGCTGTAACTGTTTAACACACAAACTGAGGCACTTGTTTTGCAACACTTGGGATTTAATGTGTCTTTTGTATCGGTAATGGGAATGACGGGTACGGCCTGCCATAGAAGTCTTTTTAAGATAATGCTACCACTTTTAAATAATTAGTTTTGGCGTCTTTTTCATGCGTCAGTGCAAAAACAAAGTGGCTGACGGTCAAAAAAGACACAAATAATTATAAAGACCGGTTGAAATTAAGATTGTTGACTGAAGCTGGCTAATGATGCCAATTTATTTGCGGAGAGAACCACCATAGATTGAGAATCCCCAAAAAAACTTTCTATTTGAAGAACAGACTAGCATTAAACTTAGAAGAGTCTATTGAAGAAATTAACATTTATTAATTTGAGCAAATTAAAAAAAAAACAAATTTAAGCACTTTTAAAATAGAATACCAAATATGACTTTTTTAACAACAAAAATAAAAACAAATGAAGAAAACCCATATTTATACTTGTTTGTCATGGTTCGTCATTGTTTGTGGTTTTCTATCGGTTCATCTTATCTCTGCGTTTTTAAAATAGCTTTATTTAGAGTTTAATCATGATTAGAAATCACTGGTAACGGCAACTGTAATGACAGAGCAGCTTTTAATCTTTAATCATTTTTCTGAGAAGGGCCAGTTCGTTTGGGGTTATATTTTTGGAAACGGCAACCTAATTGTGACATCTCATTTGCTCAACTGGCTATGAACAGTGCTGTATTGTTGCGAGATAAATGAGAAATGACTAGTTCTGTTCTCACTGTTTGTTTGGTATAATCCCTCCAAAAGAGCCTCCAGACCTTTTGTAAATTAGTTGTTGGACTCTAGCACTCAGCGTCGGATAAAACTTGCACTATGCCCACGGTCGCCGGTGTATCGACTGGCTCTGTTTATTGAGCTGCTACATTAAACCGACTCCCTTTTCAGTCTGGCATTCTGGTCAGGCTTCTAATAAATAATACACAGGGAAACATTGTGATGGAGTCTTAAGAAAGCTGGTGTGTGTGTGTGTGTGTGTGTGTGTGTGTGTGTGTGTGTGTGTGTGTGTGTGTGTGTGCGTGTGCGTGTGTGTGTGTGTGTTTGTAATACTTCAAGCATGTTTGCGTGGCTATCTTTGTGGGGACTTTCCATTGACTTCTGTTTATTTCTACAGCCTAAACCTTACCCTTATCCCAACCCTAACCTCTTACATACCTAATCCTAATCCTAACCCTATCCAAAACTCAATTCACACCATAGTCCCAAATCTAACCTCTGACCCAAAAACAGCATTTCCCCTTCAGTCCCCACAATGTAATATGTGTCAGGAAAATTACACAACTGTCCACAAACCTCAATGAAGGCTGATCCAACATAAATTCAGAAGTGTAGGTCAAAGGTTATCTGCCACAACACCAACAAATGAAGCTGTCTGCCCAATTTCAAGATCCAGAAAAGATTGGATGACTTCTTTTTGTGATTTGTTTTTTTCTATACGTAAATCTCACATGATTTAGGATTACGTGCATTTGACTTTAACCATCAAGAGACCTGGTCTTCATCATTAAATGTCACAAGAATCGAAGTCTACAAAAAATTTTAAAACAAAATCTATAATCTATTCAAAAGAGCAACAAGTTATACTATTTTCTATAACATTTACATCTGAAACAACATATTAACACATTAAAAAACATATCTTGCTTTTCTTCCTTTCTTTCCTCAGTGTTTGACAATAGAAAAAAGACTAAATTTCTCCTGCTTTAGGTCACCTAGGATTTTCAAAACATTTCTTTTATACACACCAAAATAATTTAGCCTGGCAAATGAACAAGCTAATATCAGCTCGTACTCTTTGTGTTCCTCTACTGCTGCCAACATAGCAACTTTGTTATATTTCACACTTTTTCAGACAAATAAAGATGATCTCAGCCGTAATCAGAATTGGCACGTCGGGCTTTTTAAAGATCTGTGATCAGCCAGGAAACTGCAATCAGTGCACTCCTAGTTAATAGTATTATAATTATTCTAAATGTTGTCGTAACAGTAGTATAATTGTTGCTTATTCTGTTTTGAATTGAAACAGTTACACAGCAAAAGCACAAAATCTTACCAAATGTTTTCAATCTATTTTCTTGTGCAAATATCTCAATACACTTTAAATAAGACAAAACGAACTCATAAGTAACTTTTCAGCAAGATATAGGAGCTTGTTTTGATTCAATAATCCCTTAATATTAATGAAAAAGTTCTAGTTCCACTGGCAGATAATTTAATTTATGACAAGGCATTTTTTCCATGTTATAAGTGAAATAATCTGCCAGTGGAACTAGCACTTTCTCATTGATATTAAGGAATTATTCACACAATCTTGAATTTCTTGCTGAAAAGTTAATTGTGAGTTAGTTTTGTCTTATTTCAAGTGTACTGCGATATTTTCGCTAGAAACTAGTCTAAAAATACTGAGTAGGATTTAGCAGTGTAAAATGTGCAGACATGCACACCACAAGGCCATGAAACCGTGGCCGTTTTTACCAAAGGTTACCATTCCGTGACAATGTCACGTCGGCCCATTCCCAATGCAACGCTGTAAATGTTTAAAAGCGTGCTTTCTTACTGATCCCAGCAGTAAAACTAGTCAAATGTTTCACAGATCAAGCTCCAAGCAGAAACAGAGAAGACTCCGGGTCATGTAAAACAGCCCAAAAGGCCTAGCTGGTCACTTCATCTTCCTGACAGTTTGCTTTTGTCACTATAATTGACCCAGGCTCGCGTCCAGCACAGAGAAGTTTCAATAACAACAAAGAGTCTGTCCAAGGTATGCAGTTCAGTCATGTCAGCCTGCGGAGATGAATGAGAAGTTCAGCGGAAAGAGAAGAACTATGACAGAGTGGAAGCTGAAAGCGCCGTGCGGTTATTCGGCTCCGATCCTTCAGCGCAAATTTCCTGTACGACACGTTCTCCTAGAGTCTGCTTTTTCCTTTTCTTTTTTTTTTTTTTAACTGCCAGCGATTTGTCGGATCGAATCTCAAGTATTGTGCCCTATTCTTAGCCCCGCGGAGCAGTCGTCACTCGCCTGAAAAAGGCTCACTGGGGGGGCAGCGCGGGGCTTTATTTTATCTTTGATGCAGCCCCAACAGCTACAAGACATCACCCTCACATGATTCTTAACAGTGCAGCTCATGCCTCTTGGTGGCGAGCAGCCAGATGCCTTTGGAGATCCACTAAAGCCCACTTTGACATTTGAGATGATAAGAAGGCACACACCCTCAGATCCTGTAACAGACACTTAGAGATAGTCCTCAGAGGCCAGACATGATGCAGTGCTTTAAACCCCCCTACACACGCACGCACAGCCACACACACGCACACATATTTATGGAGACTTATCTCACCGTGTGAGTCTTGGGACTAAATCCTGCTCGACCCACATGCTCCTCTCTGTCCTGGTGTCATCCAGTATTAGCCTCTTAGTGCATTTTTCAGGAAAAGCCATGCATTATAAAGATGGACACAGATGCTATAGACTCGTGGCGTCCAATTTGGTCTCCATCAGGTTGGCGGGAGAGCTGCAAGAAGAGCATATATGAGTATTTAACCTAAGAAGCTAAGAATGCACCAATCTACTTTTTTTCACTCTCGATATTGATACTGATACTTATATCTGAGTTCCGGCATCAATCCGATACAGAAAAACGGTGCTGACCCTTTTTTTTTTTTAACACAGACATAAATGTACTGAATTAAAAATTTATTAGATAACTTTGCACCGGTGCAGCACACTTAACTTCAGAAGTCTAAAGTAAAATAAACAATAAAACATAATGTTACCAAGAGCATAAAGCATAGAATTAGTCTGAATAGATCTACTTTTATGGATCGGCACATTGTCACCAGATCTAGAATCTTTTTAATTGCGGAACCGATACTGGTATCAATATCGGATCGGTGAATTTAGGAAATAAAATCGGTTAGTAGATTCAGTAACGTTCAGTCTGCTTTGTTTTCCTGCTATTGTCAATATTTACTTTCCCTTATTTTGTTCCCTGTTTTTAACTCGAGTGCTAACTTTCTGAGTGGACCCTTTGCCATGGCAACAGCCCTCATTATGTAACAGTAAGTGCTGAGCCGGAGCTTGTAGCCGTCTGCTGTCCTCCCACCTCGGCCGCTGGGTGAGCCAGCCCCCCTCATCAGACTCATCTAGTCTGCTAGAGGCATTCAATGATGAATAGGATATAGAATATGCGATCAGCTCAACTTCAAATCAACCAGTTGCAATAATTACAGTCCTTGACATTTATTATTTGATGTGCCTTTGAATAGCATCAATTACTGGAGCTCCACCAGCTAACTCTATGCCTTTATTCTGAAAGTAAAGCTTTTGAGAATGACATGAAATAGTTCATCATTATAAACTCTATGCCTTTTGTTTTTAACATTTTTATAGTTCTCTCTCCTGGCCTCTGCGGGAAGTGACAAAATTCCAAAAGTGAACATTAGCTTTCAATGGCTCTAAATGTCATACAAAAACTCTAGAGAAAGTTCTGGATTATTAGAGCTACAGCATGCAACTTTTATGGGGGAAAAAAATCTTTCTTTTTTTTCTTTACGTATTTGGTACTGTCATGACAGTATGAGGCAGATATTCTCATACTGTCTCGTGATATTGTCTGTCTTGTGTTATACTGTCAGGACAAATGTGTAAAAAAGAAAACTTTGATGAGCTCCCTACTTTTACCACAACTAAGATTAGGGTGTGTTTCAGCTGTCAGTGGAATAAATACTAATGTCACTTTTTCATCCAGATGAGTTGCAATGTTGAGTCAGTTTACTTTAAGTCATTAAAAGCATCTTAATTAACCCGCCGTCGTTAAACTTGTTGTCTCCTCTGCATAGGTAGGATATAGACTGACTAAGCGGTATAGCTTAAGTATCCTTAGGTTGTGTATAAAGATCCTGCTGTTGAAGTCAAGTTTGCTGTTTTGTTTCTTTTTGTTAAATACTAAACAGAATTGATGGACAGGTTTGTGTCATCCCGTTCCTTGCAATAGTAGTCAAAGCTCTTAAAGTTTTCCTCTTCGTTTTCAACTACAACCACAAACTTTTACGGGACGTAACAGCTCAAATTGTGAAGTGGAAGGAAAATGATGTATGGTTTTAATTTCATTTAATTTTTTCTTTTATGTTCCTAAAAAAAAAACTGAAAAGGGGATTCTTACTCACAACGACAGAAACAGTTACAACAAGTCTCCCGTTTTACCGTTCCAGTCCACACATGCAGCTGGAGGAGAAAAACACTGTTGAGTCACGGATCCTGTGGCGGATCCAGTGCAGCCCATCGTCCAAAAAAACAACGTGGGACAACTGCAAGCTTACCGAGGCGATGGTCTTGGTCGAAGAATCTCATTTAATTTAGTTGATTTGACTAAGACAGTGCACATTAATCAATATCGCCGCAAATAATGGCAGCGTAAATATGCAGGAATTAGCACAGTGGCTAAATTTGTCCTAGGAGAAATTTACCTCACTATATAATTCCCAGGACAGGACACATAGGTCTATTAAAAAAGTACAAAATAATAATAGCAATAATAACAGCGTCACAGATTTGGTCAAACATGTAAAAACAACTTGAACTAGTTCAGTCAGTGCAAAAAAGTCAACGGGAAATAAATAGTAAAGAAGCTGAAACAGACAGAAACAACAAGTTGATTGCTTTGGTCAAATGTAAAATAAACTTCAACAAATCTTCTTTCAAACATGTTATGAAGTGTAATAAGGAATTCCAGATACTATGTAATAAATAGTAATAAAGCATGACGTCACTCAGTGTACAGAGTTACACTGAATAGATCTGACCTTATGGATTGTGAACATGGTCACAGATTCCTGATCAAGAATTTTCTTCAACATCAGGACGATACAGATATTTACATCATATCGTTGCATCTCTACCAGCTGGCTGCAAGAAAAAATTATCAATTATCTAGAAGAAGGTGTTCAAGTGAGCTGACAGCACCGCTTTCGAAGTGCGGAGCTCTTATAAAGTTCTGCAGTTCCTCTCTGACTCGAGTCGCTGTCCGAGGATTTCTCTGACCGGATCAGAGAAGATGCAGTACATCTGCGCTCGTTTCAGGAGTTTACGAGAGCTTCGACGCGCTCTGCTGCTTTACGAGAGCTCGAGCGTGTGACCCCTCGAGAGGTCGCCCGGCTGCGAAAGTGGCGTTCAAGGTCTGTGGTGAAAAACAGACGTGTCAGAGTGTTTTTAAAGCTTTGGGGTAACTACCAGTGTCTGGGAATGCAGCGGCCGTGTGCCGGTCGGCGAGTCCGTCCCGTTCACGCTGTGACCTTATAATGAGAGGAGCAGAGAGGAGGGAGACCGCAGGCCTCGTGTCCGTTAAATCCCATCCACTCATCCACTCCACTCTGCTGTTTTTATGTTGTTGTTTTCAAGGTTCGTCATCTTTCCCAGCGATTCGCTAACAACACCGCAGCTAATTTCTATTTGTGAAAACACAGATTCAGCACTGAGCCGCCTCTGTTGAGGAAGAGGAATTATGTAACCTTTAAGATGCATATCTCGCTCCGGTAAGGTGGAGGCAAGGATTTTTTCTGTGTGAAATCATCCACAACTGAAAAAGTCAAGTTGAGCTCTAAAAACGGCCATGTTTTTTTTTTTTTTTTTTTTATCTGAATGCTTTTCACCACAGACTTTTTAAATTAAATGTAACTACTGAACTACTGGGTTTGACAGAATATTTTTATATATATGGTCACAAGCTGCGATTTCATTACAAATATGTGTACAACTTTGTTGGTATTCCATTAATGTTGAAAAAAATCCAAATTCGCAAACAGGGTTTTTCCATTAAATCAGAAATTAGACTAAACTTAGAATGCAGAGGAACTCACCTTACTTCCTTAGATTGACATTATCAGAACAAGAATCTGATATAAATTATGGACTACTTATTCTTAAACATGGGGAACTAAGATGTAGTTTTGTTTTGTTTCTTTTTTTTACTTTTTCTTCTTTTGCTCCGCTGATCTTTAATTGACTTTGTGCTTTTGCATGCTGCTGTTCACCCACAGGCACTGCATAAGAAGGAGCACAGAGGCTGCGACAGCCCAGACAACGAGTCGTCCTACGTCCTCACCCCCAGCACCGAGGAGAAATACAAAAAGATCAACGAAGAGTTTGACAACATGATGAAAAGTCATAAAATAGTAAGCAACATTTTGGTAGGCTTTTTTTTTATTGTCTCATTGGAATATAATAAATTATGAAATGTTGGATTTTGCATCAAAATGAATCAAGGAGATGCATTTTCACATCTGAAGGATGTCTTTGACATGTACCAATGTCAAAGACTCTGGTACATGTTCAACTTAATTATTACAGACATTAAGCTCATGCTTTGTTTATTGCCTGTTTCATAATTGGTGACTGTACGGCGCAACACACTTTGAACGGTCTTGTTGCTGAAACGTGCCATACAAATAAACTTGTCTGGACTTTCGTTCCCACTAGTCCACAGGTCAGCCGCAGCAGCATTTCATGCATGCAGCATCAGGCAGCACCACCTATTGCCATGGAGCAGGAGGAGGAGGAGTGACTTCCCAAGCTCTAGCTGCAGCCACAGCAGTGCTGTCTGACAGCGGGATCCTCTGCTCGCCTCACATACACACCCACAGAAACACAAACTCCTCACAAAGACCTCCCAGCTCCGGAAACACAGGTTAGTGTCACAGCATCGTTAACTTCTAAGGAATGAATCACAGAGTGACGCTAAAGTGATGGGAGGCCCAGGTGGCCAAATGTGCTCCAAATGGGCATATGTATATTTATATATTTATAGATATGTTTGTGCGTGTCTTGAATATGTTTTCATAATCAACCGTTTGGGATTGTATTCAACTGGAAGGGCAGTTTGATAATAGCTGAGTTTTATTATTATTATTCATTTTTCCTGAAGTGAAACATATGACTGAACTTGAAATGTCTCTAAAGAAATGAAACGTTTCAAGGAAACAGGAAGGTTTTCGAAAAAGATTATAGGCGCCTTATGAACAAAAATTATGAAAAAGTTTCTAAAGATGCATTTGTGTGTGGGTGTGTGTGTGCGCGCGTGTGTGTGGGTGTGTGTGTGCTCACCATTAGGTGGCCTGCAGGGCAGCTCAGATCTGGCTCTGCACAATGGCTCTGGAGCAGCTGGTATGTATCTTATAAACATGCTCTGACACACACAGCGCTTTCACACACAGACACTTTGTTTTCCTGTGATCCGTTGAAGTCGAAGCGTGTAGGATTTAGGTCTGTTGTCTTTGGGTTGTGTCCTGTCGATGACGTCACGAGGCCTCCGGTTTATCACATCTCAGCTTCAGGGTGGGACCAGTGAGTCAGTGTGTGTTGGCTTCCTAAATGCTTTCTGCTTCACTCTGTCGTTCTGATTTAGGCTGCACCGTCTTCTCCAGGAGAAGAACTTAATAGCCTCCATTTTGGTGCAACTCTGTGATCGCATCAGTATTCAGCCAGGAGGTGCAAGATTAAGCTGCGCTACCATGGGCTACTGCCTTAAATCTGGTGTCAGGCTGCAGAGCTGTGCTAAATATGAGAAGTACCAAACAGTTTTAGCCTTGTTGAGAAAAACAAACATTTCCCTTTTTTCTCATTTTTGTGGGATTATTAGCACCTTTAAAGAATACAAAAGAATGTTTTTAGGCTTATCGCAATAAGCAATGATCACATGACAAATTAAAACAACTTCAATAATTTTCAACTAGACCATTTTTTTGAAGGACAATTTTGTGAACAGAGACTTCATAATTTATTTTATTTTTTGTTTCTGTTGTTTTGTTTATTTACGTTGAATATTTAGAATGTCTTCCGGTGTTAAAGGAGATGCTTTTCACATCTGAAGGATGTCTTTGACATGTACCAATGTCAAAGACTCTGGTACATGTTCAACTTAATTATTACAGACATTAAGCTCATGCTTTGTTTATTGCCTGCAGAGCAATAAACTGCATATATATTATTTAAAGTTTATTAATCTTTGAGAATGTGTTCTTGCATTACCGTTGTCCTACTTGAAAAGGGTCTCAAAGCAACAATATCATCATTTATCGCAATAACTTCTGATTATACTTCAAATTATACATAACAACCTGGTCATGTGGTTATGGTTCGGATACAACAGCTAAACATGGATTCCAAGGATACTTTCTATGAGCCTTTCTCGTAAACAATTCTTGCTGCAGTCAAACTCTACATGAGTAACCATGCAATTTGGAGGTGAGTGCCCTCCTCGCTACTGATATATATTCCTGTGTGCCAGCGGCCAGAGAAGCCCGACTGATTTTGGGATGCTGCGGTGCCAAAAGAATCGCATTAATTTATCCGGAGTGCTGCTGGAGTGCGATAAGGTGTTTCGAGGTCCAGGGTGTTCATGATCAACTCTTCTTCACACGCATAAATGTTGTGTTTGTTCAAACCTTACAGCAATTTTCCCAGAGCTGAATCCTGGAAATGTTGCCATTACATAATGTCAGGAGAAACCGAGAGAGAACCAATGAATTATTAATTATTATCTCTTCTATAATGTATAGCTGCTCTTTCTCCATTCAGGGTTAGCTCTGTTGTGGACAGGATGACTCCAGTACCTATGAGGATATCTGGTATTAAAGTCTTTTTTCCCTGAACGAACAGAGTCTTTTAAGAACCCACACACGGTCTGTTTTAACGAGACCATTCGGATTCTGCTTTCCGGCACTTATCGGCCGTCTCTTTCTCAGTGAACGGATTCATGGGCTCCAGCGGTGGAGGTATCGTGGGGAAGACCGGACCGACCAAATCTCCTCCTTCTCTCCTGCACCAGACCAGCGGCCCGATCCCCGGCGGCCGCAAAGGCGACCTGCGGGTGGTCATCCCTCACTGCAAAGGAATGATGCTGGTATGGATCCCTCGCCCCCCCGCCGAGTCTCAAACGTTCTGACCCACACCTGAGGTCACGTCAGGTGACTCCCGAGCAGAAGGGCGTTCCTATCGCTCTTCTCGTTCCTAGTTGATTTGGATTATCTCGGCTTTCCGCTTATGAAAACCCCAAGGTTGTCTATATTATGAATAAAAAGGAAATATTGCACATTCGCGAGGAAGATTCCAGACTCTAGAGCCGTCCATCAAACGCTCTCCACAGAGCAAACCACAAAAAGTCATAAGCTGGCTGTGTCCAGGCATATTAATGGAAAGTCGAGTGGGAGGTAGTGGTGGGGAGAGCAGTTGAAAAAGACCCAAAGCAACAGGGAAAATTGCAGCCTTGATAGGTTTGTGAAATAAAACCCATTCAAGAGTTTGGGGGAAAATTCACAAGGCATGGAGCCATTACACATAGATAGCTCCAGGACATGGGTTACGACTGTAGCATTCCTTTTTATTATTATTATTATTCCCATTTAATCTGTCTCATTTAGCATTCTAATTGTCTGTCATTTTTGGTTCCGTCATTGGTTGCAAGCCAAAATTAACAGAACCAAAAGCTGGAGATAATTCACGAGCATCTTAAGTTTTAAAAGTTTGGGTTGATAACTGGCAGATTTCGGTAATATTCAGTTTTATTTCTTTGCCTTTTTCGTTCTTATTATATTCTAAGGTAACATAAGAATTAGAGTAAACTGAGTTATATAACGTTTGAAACTATTTTTTTAGTGTCATCAATGCTTAGATGGCTCTGCTTGCTTGAGGAATGGAGCATTTTCTGTTGTTAAACCATCATAGAGACTGTTGTTGTGATAGGAAATTGCATATAAGATCTACATTGAACTTGAGTTTCTCCAGTATTAGTCATTAATGTCAGCGTTTTGTTTTAAAGGGAATCAACACCCAGTGACTCCACATGAGCAGCCGTCACTCACACTGTTAGTCATCGATTACTGTCATCGGGTTTTAAATTTGAAACAAAAGGGCTTCCCAATATTATAAAAAATCCTCCAGCGACGTGTTGCATATCATGGAAATAAAGCTATTTCATTGATTAGAAATTTAAGGGTCTGTAATTAATTAGTTACTATTAATCGTAAATTTTTTACTCAATTGAAAACTGTACATTAAGAAGCGAAGCAAGATTTTCAGTTCAAAAACTTGTTTTACTGTGAAATTACTGAATAAATAGAAGCAACGTTACTGTTGCTTCCAGATGTGGCTTGTGCGTCAGATTTACTGGTGTACCGGAAACTTGCAAATACAATGGTTCTGGCCGGAACCTTTATAATGTAAAAAAAAATACAATTAATTGTGCTAAAATCTATGCAATTCATTAATTGAACTTAACACATTAAGGTCCCAGCCCGAGTTTGTACTTCATCTCATGGTACTGCGAGAATCATAAACCAGCCCCTGTCCAAATAAAGTACTGAATATGTTTCCAATGTGATAGCTTGTTTTAAAGCCTTCTCCAACAGATACTTTTCCAAAGTCAAAAGTAAGCATTGCAGTGACTGGTCAGTATTGTAAATCCTAAAGTAAGACTGCAATAAGTTTGGATTATCTAGAAACCTCTCATCTTCAGACCTAATGCTAGTAACTCCTCCGACTCGGGTCTCCTGGCCGTAATTCACACAGCATTGTTGTGCAGGAGTGTTAACCACCGAGCTTTATTGGGTTCACTGTGGCATGAAGCAGCAACAAAATGGAAGTCTTTACAGTTTTAAGTAGCAGCCCTCTTGATTAGATCATTTCCAAAGCCGCCTTTCACTTCCCCCCTTCATGCATGCATGCTCGGCTGTTCTGCACGGACCAGGACCAACTCGGATTCAGCAAAGCGATTCACAGGAGGAACTGAGCATGTCCGCCTGTGTCAGATTTATTACTGCAATAGCTAAACTGGAAATTCTCCGACAGTAGAGTCGGTCGCACCGCAGACAAAGCAGGGAGATCCATTTTAGAATGGTGGAGCTTCCTGTTTTTATTTTTATTGTTTTTAACCCGATTCACACGTGTGTGTGTGTGTGTGTGTGTGTGTGTTGTGTGTGTGTGTTGTGTGTGTGTGTGTGTGTTGTGTGTGTGTGTGTGTGTGTGTGTGTGTGTGTGTGTGTGTGGTTATTCAGCAGTGACATCGTTTGAAATGATGTCATCGCTCACTTTATCAGGCCAGAGCAGCAACAACAGCTCAGGGAGAAACAGCACAAAACTTTTAGTGCTCCTTAACAGAGTTAGCTTTGCTATGCATAGCATTAAGCTAGCCAAAGCTTTACTTCATAAACTTCTGTTGTAAAGTAAATCATTACCTGTTCTAAGGACAAAATTCAACAAAATTGTATATATTTTTCTCTTCCTATAATTTATTTATTTTCTTTTCCAAATCTCATTAGTCTGCATTTAGTAGTTGCTCGACAAGCATCATCAGGTTCTTGCGTTGAAAAGGGAAGACGTTGCTACGTTCATAGTTAGCAAATGGTTCAGAAAGTTTCTCTGAACCTCATCAACTTATTTTCAACAAGCAGGAACTTTACAAGGTTTCCTGAACATCTGTCGCATCATGAACAACATGAAGGCAAAACTAATTAAACTATAAGTATGTTTTTGGTTCAACAACAGATACACCAAAGGCCAAGCCTGTTTCTCTTTTTTAATAAGGTGTATACTGACATCTTGTGGTTGAAACATGGCATCGCACACTCTGTGACTGCATTGCGAAGGGTTACAGAAAAAGATCTGAAATCCCATCATCAGCAGATTCTTCTTCTATTTAATAATGTCATTATTGTTGTTGTTATTTTCAGAGTAACCAGCGGCTGGGCGGCGGTCAGTCCACTCAGCCTCTCTCCACCCCAGTGGTCTCTATCGCCACACCCAGCCTGACTCACCAGGGTCTGGGTTACTCAAGCATCAGCTCAGCCTACAGCAGCGCTGCAGGTTTGTTTGGGTTGTTTCTGACCAGAATAGTTTGCAATATTAATAATTTTCTATGTACTTTCTTGGACTATATCTATTTTTTTTGTCATATTACAAAACACTATTTTTGTGGATTTTAGGCAATAGATCCATCCACAGTAGCATATGAGTGTGAAGTGAAAGACAAATGATGCTCTCTAATAAACCCCTGAGGCAGAGAACAGCTGGATTTATGTTCGGTTTATATTAATAATAATAAATCTGAATGTTGCTGACTACAGTTGGTTTTGTTATTACAGTTTTACAGAAATGCTTTTTTCAGATTTGCATTTGTAAAACAAATATACATTTGTTTTGTATTTGTTTTTTTTCACCTTCCTTACACTCAACATTTTTCACATAAATTACCAACTAAACACATTGAGGTTTGTGGTTGTAACATGACATAAATGAGGATTTCAGACAGTGGGAATGCTCCTGTTTTCTCTCTGACTCTCATTGAGAGCTGTCGCTGAACGCATGCCGTCTCTTTGTTGTCCAGATTACTCCCTGAACAGCGGTGACATGACGGGCTTCGGCTCGGCCGCGGACCACTCTCTGGGCTCCATGACGCCCTGGGAGCAGCACCAGCTCAGCTCCTTGGGGTGAGCGCCTGGAGGCTTTCGATACCGGAATGGGTCTTGGTTCTAATGGATCCGTGTTAGTGGAGAAGCAGGGTTCAGTTTTTGCACTCTGCTAATCTGGAACAAAATTCTAGAAAAATGCAAGACTCCAGAAACACTGAATTCCATTGAACGAAGGCTTTGATTAGTAATAACATATCAATGTTTGATGTGTTTTTGTTTGATGATTTTGATGATGGCATTTGACAAAATGTTTATTGCTTGTTCCAGAATTAGTGACTTTTTGATGTTTTTATAGCGCCCCCTGGTTATGGGCCACCAGGGGGCGCTATGGAGACAAAAAAAAAGCCAGATGAGAAAAGAAAGCAAAAAAAAAACAATAATACAATGTGTTTTTAAATCAAACAATATATTTTTTAAAATTGTAAAATCATGTCTATTTTTCAATAATTATTCTAAAATCTAAGTTCAAATAAATTATTGCATATTTTTGATCGATATTAAGCAATGACAGCAAAATGGCTGCAAATTTTACACAAAGCTGTTCAAAATCTGCAGCCTTGTGATTATTTGTAAAAAGTAAAAAACAAAAATAAGTGACCCCATGTGCTTTCAACTTAACAATTTTGGTCTCTATGGGAAAAAGTTTGGAGTCATTTAGAGCATGTTTTTTTTTATTATCATTATTTTTAAAACAAGTTCTTTGTGCCTTTTTATTTCGTCTGCACAATGGCAATTTTATTGAAATTGACTAAATGGTCTGATTTTTTTAGAAAACAAATCAATGAACTATCGTAGCATGTATCTAGTTTCTAAAGTTTCGGATGGTGTTCTTATTTGGGTTATGACATTTTCCTCTCAGTAAAAGCATGTAGATGTTTGTGGTTCCAGTTCCTCCAAAATTAAAAACTTTGTTTATAAATTAGATTCTGTTTGTTGCACTTAATGTTTTGATTGCATGAAGAAAAAGTTTCCTGATTCTAGAGTTTAGGTCAGAAGGGCCACAAAAAATCTGCCGGAGAGCTACAAATGGCCCGTGCGCTGCATGTTGGACAACCCTGCTTTAGAGGTTTTGAGAGTTTTATCTTCAATTGATGAGCGTAAGAATGCATTCAGGGAATAAAACAAACAAAAATCGAACAAATCAGTTTTAGAAAGTTCTTTTTTTTTGTCACCAGATGGCGCTTCCACTCAACTCTCCCTATTGTCTCTCTGTTTTTTGGGGGTTTTTTTTGCAGGTCGGCCAACTCCAACCTCTCCATCAGCACCAGCCACAACATCAACATCAAAGCGGAGCCCATCTCCCCGCCGCGTGACCACCTCCCCCAGCCCGGGTACATGACCCATCACCCCGCCCCCCCTCGCCCCGCTCCTGCCCCTCCTCCTGGCTCTCTTTCCTCCCGGGCGGACCTGGGCAGGTCCCCCACAGGCAGCGTCGGCTCGTCCTGCAGCTCCCACGAGGATGGCAGTGACCGGGAGGAGCAGCAGCAGCAGAAGCGACGGCCGGACCTCCACCCGCTGCCCGTGGCCCAGTCAGACGGTGCCGAGAGCCCGACTGTGAAACAGATGAGAATGGACAGCTGGGTGACGTAGAAAGCCCGGCGTTTACCCGGGAAACGACGTTCGACATCAGGACAAAAGGCAGCAGGGACACTTGCTATGCAAATAAAGTCACGGATCTCATCCACGCTTTCTGTTGATTAACTTTTATCTTCTCTGTTTGTTTCTTCTGCTTTTTTTTTTTGTTTTTTTCTTTAAATCTGGACAATCTGTGGAAATAGATTGATAAATCCCCAGCTGCGGTGCAATCACTCGGCTCTTTTCTGACGGCGTCGTGACATAAGCATCGCTGTCTGAACTTCTCAGGGCGAGAGACATTTGAAGCAATACTTCCTCCACGTCCCACGTCTGTAATCCTTCCTTTAAAATACAACTAAAAATGAAAAATGACTTATTTATATCGCTGCCAAAGCACCGTACCGTCCGCAGAGCAACACGTCTCATCAGCATCATCGCCGTCCATCTGAACCACGTCTTTGTTGTTTTGTACATAACATCTCTATCATGTATCACATGTATTGTAGCAACACAGTATTGTCTGTTTTGTCTCACACTCCCACCGGGTTTTGCAAAAATATACCTTTAAAGGTGGCTCCTGTGTCCGTTTTCTGATTGTCACGTAAAGAGTTCTACTGTTTAGTCAAGTTGGCATTTTCCCTCTTAATCTTCTCAGTGCCGCATAGCGACAGCCGTTTTTATTGGCAGGAAGTAGTCGGGGTGCACTGATAAATTGGCCCACATGTTTCCCAGTTTTGGGTTTATCGCCCAGAACTGGGAACCACTGAAGCATGTGCAACCGATCTTATCCGACCATCTTATCTACCTCCACAAAAATCAGCTGCTGTCCTCATTAGCTCTGCTGGCCCAAAATAACAATACTCATCCTAACGTTACCAACAAATGCGACTCCACTGTGCATAAAGGCAAAGTCTAAATGAAGTAAAGCAAGTTTTATTTTTTTCTGAGTTGTTTAGATTTGCAAAGAGACATTATGTAGCGAACAGCAGCAGATAAAGCAACAACACTGATCTAATCTGACACAATCTGTATTTGGGTTTTATCGGTTAATGTAGGAAGACGAAACTGCATATATACTAAGTTGAACTCCAAGTTGAACCATGAAAACAACTCACCTAAAATACCGGGAGGAGCAGCAGCAGCTGTTTTACTGTGAAATTACTTAATAAATAGACATGAGCTCAACGTTACTGTTGCTTCCAGATGTGGCTCGTGCGTCAGATTTACTGTGTAATTCCAGAACAGTCTTTATTTATAAAAAAAGTGAGTCCTCCAGTCTGCCGGTGGTTCCCTTTAAGATTATTTTTATTTGATTTCATTCCAACTTTTAAAAAGAAAGCCAAAACGCAGACGCGTGAGCGGAACAGCGAGAAATTAGGGCAATGTGGGATGGTGCGCGGTGGTAAATGTGGTAAATGATGCAAAAGCTGCAAAGGAGTCGACCACAACAGTTCCTCTGGTTATTCTACAGCAACTATTTTCCCAACGACAAGGTTTCGCCGTTTGAATGTGCCGGAAAATGAGAGCGCAGAAGCAGTTGGAGAAGCAAAGTATGATGCACGAAAGAGAACAAAGACAATAAAGGGGGCTGGCTGACACTTTTCACACCTTTTGTAGAACTGGTCTAAGATTAAACATGGATAGGAAATGAGAATAGTGTCAAATGCCACAAAACATTTCCACAGATGTAAATAATGCTCTACATTGAACGCGAACTGCTGTGGTGTTGGGGTTTATGGTCAAAGCTTCTTTTTAAAGACCTGAGGACCTGGAGGTCTGTTTTATAATTTGCTTAAAAAGGATTATTTTTTTTATTATTTTGCCCTCTCTCCATTGCCTGAGATAAAAAAGATTTTCCTCTAAATGAAGAAAAGCAAGTAAAGATGAAAATATGGACGTCATTTCCCCTGAAAACCGCTAATAAATATCTCAAAGATAACGTCAACTTTGTATTAAAAGTGTCATTATTTAATTATTAAGTAATTATTTAGCATTTTTAATCGGTGCTTTCAACTTGCCAGGCAGTGAACATTGATGAGAGAAGCAGCTCACTCTGGTGACTCTGGAGGAGCTGCAGAGATCCACAGCGCAGGGCAACTTCTAGTATTATCAACCTTGAAAAGTGTCAGTCAGAGGTTGCTGAAAGAAAACTACATCACCCTGAGCACCTGAGTTTGAAGTATTCAGAGAAGATGAATAGGTCGACTTTTCAGCCTGGAGATGTAAAAACTGAGTGAGACAAAGGGACATATTACTTTGAAACTGTTCCACACAGTATTGACGATCGCTGACTCATACACACATTTTTTTTTTGTGAAATAAAACATGTAGGCTATCTATTCCACCTCAAAATGATGCCTCGCCTTTTCTTTATTTGTCACATTAATCCCAACAAAGATGTTAAAAGGTTAAATACGTGATAAGGCTTTTCAAGGCACCATATTGATTTTAAAGTCAAACCGGATAGGTTTTTCATGACTTGAGTGGAATCACTCAGCGCTGACTGAGAATGAAATTCTTTAATATAATTATGAACAACACTGTACGTACTATCACTATGAACAAAAAAGGTCATGGATTTTATTTTGAAATGAATAAAAGCCTGAGAAAGTTCGACCGCAGTCGGAATGTTGAGAGAATTATATATTGATTAAAATCATTTTTAAAAAAAAGTCAGATAAGTTACACAAGTAATTCCTAAACATTACTTTTGCCGCGAGCGCTCACCAGGAAGTGCTTTTACTTTTTCAGGAGCTCGCTCGCGTGCTTGTGTTGCCGAGTCGCGTGCTCGTCTCCTGCTGCTCGGGCCTCAGAGGAGGAGGAGGAAGTCTCTGCGTCAGACACTCGGCCCGCCGTCGCTGTTCTGACCCGCCGCTGTTCGCCCTGACAGAGAAAACGATGCTCGTCGGGCGCTGCGCGAGCCAGGAACTGCTGTCGGAGGCTTTACGGAGCAGCGTTACGACGTGAACTAGTGAAACTCGAGGACTTTTCTCCAGACTTCCTCTTGAGTAGAAAGTTACCTGTGAGGATCGTCGAGGTGAGGCTGGCCAGGTGAGCTCGTTCCTTCCATTCCTGAAATGCCTCGCCTAGTGCAGCTGACTCATAAAAGATGAAAGCATTTCCCCGTGAGAGTGTTCCTCGTTTTTTTCCTTTTAAATATGTATAGCAAAAAAACAACAACAACAACAACAAAAACGCGCCTTGTTACATAGTTTCTACTAGGTTATACATACATTTTTTTTTCTCTTCTCACGTCACTAATATACATTATATATTGCTTCGCTAATATTTCTGTTGCCCTCGTTTCCTCTGTGACTGTTACTGAACTACAAGTTAGCATTTTGTATGACAAGGTCGATGCCTTTTACTTAAACCCATTAAGCATAGATACTATAAGAAGATAGACATGTCTAACTTTTCAATGGCAGGCTAGAATATATAAATATTTAATATAAATAATACTCACAGAGAGGGTGTGTTTGCATGTTGTTTGGGGCTGATTATTTAGTTGCTCGGGCTTTGCTTTGAACATGTCTTGCCTCATATCAGTGTGAAGGAACCACAGTCTTTGAAACAGTTTGAGGAAATCGCTTCTTCTCTTGCTCTGGAAAGACCAAGCAGTCATGCAGTTCCTCAACAAACAGACGCAAGGTTTTACATTTTGCATGACAGCGTTGTCAACATCAGGGGGTCAAATTCTAGTAAAGAAATTCAACATAATTCAATATAGCTAAGATTTAGAGGATGTAGCGAACAGAAGTGCTTTAGTGTTTACAAGGGATTAACCCAGTACTCATCCTGGAACGCTGCTGTGCATTCTTTTGTGGTCTGTGGCTTTTTTGGGGTTTTTTTTTGCTCTTTTTTTTTGTTATCCAATAGCAGTGACCTCATTTGGGAATGAGAGCAGAACATGCTCAGGCGTTGTTGCAGATGCGTGTGTCTGCATGCTCGACTGTTAGTATTAACAAAATGCCCAGGATTGCTTTGCCAGAGTAGAAAAGCACAACTTGAACATCATCAGGATTATTGTTATTGCATCGATTCCACTGCCAAAGCTGCCTCACGTGGAAATATCCTGATTGAAGAAAAACATAGCTGACGGCTTTTAGATCTGTGTATTCCAAATAAAGTTTCCCAAAGTTGACCAAATGAGATGTTGAGGCACAGCGACAACTCAGCTCTCATTTCTTCAAAAGGGAATAGGCACTTTATAGTGCTGGAAAACATAACATACTTTATACCACAATCATTACCTTCAGTTGTTATAAAAATCCTATATATATCCAATTTGACTTTGTAATTTAATGCCTTCAAATTGGGCCTCTGTCTCTTTAAAAACTCCTGCTTTGCTGAAACTCTGCCTTCAGAAAGTCATCACATCATGGCTCCTGTATCAGCACTTTAGCAACTTTTTTTAACCAGCATTTCACTCATTAGTAGCTCAGCCAAGTGTTTGCTAATAGCTGCTGGTTAGTCTGAAGGAGCTGGGAGAGGGGGTAATCAGCTGACACATGTGAAAATTATTTTTTTTTTCCACCTCTGCAAAGGTCTGAAAATCAGCTAAGGCAAAGTAGCATATTTGTCTGGATGAAATTTTACATATAGAGCACTCAGAAAGTATTGATCAGTAGCATCATGTTTCACCTCCTGAATACAGTGTTTTCTACGTTTCTTGTGGTAAAACTGCAAATTGGACTTTTTATGTTCACCTTTGAACATTGGATCTCTGCTGCTCTTCCTTTATTAACGTTCTTGTTGCAACAGCTGGACTCCCCCAGTTACAGATGTGACTTCTGGTGCAGATGTTTTCATCGCTTTTTATTTAGTATTGGCACAGTAGAAACTTCTTTTTTTTAGATTTTTCCTTATTTATTAAAAAGAAAACTTAGAAAAACTTGTATCCTTCCACGTCATTATCATGCTTTTGGTGTAGATAAATCCCATAAAGTCCCAACAAAATAATCTGACATTTTCTTTTTAACTGTAAGCTTTTTCACTTTTGATGTGAATACTTTTGAAAGTTTCAACAGTTACATTTAGGACCAAACCTGTTCTGTGTCCGAACTTGTTTTTCCATCACTCTGTAATACTCTAACCTTTCACATCTGTTTATCCTGGTCATATTGACTCGACCTTTGTCGTTGCTGTTTTTCTTTTACACGGACCCTCTCTGAATCCTCTGTTTATTTGTAAGAGAATCTGATAAGAGCTGAGAGTTTCAGGGCCAGGTTGACCTCAGGCAGCTCCTTGACCTTTGCTGACTGCAGCCTTCACATGTGAACGAGAACATTTTTTTTTCACTGCGTCTAACTCTCTGATTATTGCAGCTGCTGCTCTCAACATGTGTTTGCTGCAAGTCACACCAATTCAAAACCTTGCAGAAATACCACAGACCTCATGTGCAAAGTCAAAGGTGTATATATATATATGGCAGATTTCAGCAACAATAGTAGCTTAATTGTTCTTCATTGTAAAGACATAAATGAATATAACATAACAGTAGCAAAGTAAAGAGAAGTAATAAATCATAATCTGGATTAGATTTAATCTGTTTTTCAGTTGTTATTAATCAAAGGCAGCTCTTAAAAAGTAACTTTTTCGTCTTGATTTAAACAAACTTGATGTTTCGGCAGTTTTACAGTTTTCTGGAAGTTTGTTCCAGATTAGAGGAGCATAAAACCTGAATGTTGCTTCACCATGTTTGGTTCTGGTTCTGGGTTTAGTGAGTAGACTTTAACCAGAAGACCTGAGAGGTCTGGAAGGTTGATACAGATCTTTAATGTATTAATGTATTCTAAGCCCTTCAGTGAATCAGAAGTATTGGAAAGTCTGTGAGCTACAGGGAGCCAGGGCAAGGACCTGTGAAGATATGTTGCAGTAATCAATGCGATGAAAGATAAATGTCCCATTAAACACTTTAATAAGAGCAGTATCAGTAAAAGCACAGAAAAAAATAAAAATGTTAATCGTTTCAGTCTCTCTCTCTTTGGAACCTGCTAAAACTCAAACACACTCAGTCATGGTTCATGGTAGCACAATGGTTTGAAATCAACAGGAGGAAATACATTTTGTTTCGCCCAATAAGTTAAAATTAGAATATATGCAAGTCATATGATTTCATCTGTTATTGTGTTGGTGCTAAACACAGATTCAAAAAACGGCGTCTGTATTTCAACAAAAAAAATAAATTCTCCATAAAATCTTTTTTGATGACATCATGTGAGATCAAGGAGAAAAAAATACAAATACTGTAAAAACATTGCATATTATTTCATCCCTGATTAATGCATCTGTTGTTGTTTCTGTAGTGGAACCGGTCTGGTTTCACAGAACCCATATCATTTGTCACATCTGGAGTATTTGAATATCCTCGTAGCCTTGGCCGCTACGAGATCAGCAGTAGGTTTATCTGTGTTTCATGAGTAAACAGTAATTTATCTGCACTGGACTGTTACTGAAGGTTTTTAGAGCAACACTCGATCGCCACAACGCTTCAATCTGTGCCTCACGGCTGTAGTGGTGGTTAGCGACAGCTGATGGCATCATCAGGATGGCCAGAGTTAATCATTGACCTTTATGGTCTCTGCTTAAAGACAGCAGGTGACAGGCTAGAAATGATTGTAGGAACAATCAGCTACTAATCGGCGGCGCTTAGAGACCATCAAATGTTTGTACGTCAAGGATGTTTACCTCTGACATAAAAAAAAAGATTTTCCTCTAAGGTTTATTTTACAGGTAGTAAAACACAAGGTGGAAGGTGCATGCTGCCTGCAGTTCTCCATTGTATACCCTGATAGTGTGTCTTCTCAGAATAATTCAATAGATGTCATCCAACCATGAATCCATTGCTTCGAGGTCAGCTAACATGCTTTCTGTGGCTTATTGTTGGTCATCTTAAATGTGGACTTACGTCAGATTAGGATCAAGACTGCTTTGCAATCATGTCACTCCATAAGGAACACGCTTTGATGCTTTGTTTGGTAATTACTCAATGTCTTCCTGCAGCTATTTTTGCTAAAAAGCTCAACCTCAAATGAAATCATAATTTGCCTTTTCTCACAAAGTGAGTCTGTCAAAATCCTTAAAGACTGAAACGACTAGAGTCTCCTCTCTGTTCACAAATCAGAATGCATGTGAGATGCAAAAATCAATCCGGCATCGCAGAGCAACAGGAGGCATGAAGCGGAGTTATAAATGTTAGCTAAAGGTCAAATATGTCTGCAACACATATTTAACGGGTTGCAGTTAAATACACTATCTACACTAGTGTCATTTACACTATTTTTTAAATGTAAACGACACTGAACTTTTCCTGGCTGAAGCTCACACTGGCAGGTTGACGTGAGCAAAAGCTCTGGTGATAGA